GAGTATACGTGAGTGTGTGTATGAGTGTGAGTGTTTGTGTGTGTGTATGTGTGTAGGGGCGCTCCCCTGGGGCCGTCTACCAAACCGATAGCCCCCGTTTCCCTCGCGGCTCGGCTAGGTGCTCCACCCCGGAGCTGCGCGGGGCTGGGGGAGGTGAGCAGAGGAGTCCCGAGGAGCCCGGGCTGGGCGGCGGGGAGCTGAGCGGCCGTTTGGGAGGGAGTCCGCATGTGGTCAGCGCGGGGCTCCTAAGCCAGCCCCCAGCTCACGTTACACTCTATTTATAACCTCCCGAAGCCGTTTCCCCCTCGCAGGCAGGCAGGCAGGCAGGCAGCATTCTCTGGGACCACCTTCTCTTGGCTTCCTCCTCCTCCTCCTCCTCGTCCTCCTCCTCCTCCTCCTCCTCCTCCTCCTCCTCCTCCTCCCCTTGACATCGGAGCGTCCGAAGCAGCAGCGCGGGCCGGACGATTCCTCTCCTTCCTTCCCTCTCTTCCTCTTGCTTCTTCCCGGGGCTGGCACAGCCAGCGGCGGACCGGACTGACAGGCGCGCGGCCGGATCCAGCCCTCCAGGCTTCTCTTGGCCCATCCCGGCGGGTCAGGGTAGGGCGGGCCAGGGCCAAGAGGGGCAGCCCGGGGCCGGACCGGGGGGGGGGGGGGCGGGGAGCGGGGGCTCTGAGTACACTGCCGGCTGACCCAGGACGGCGGAGGTGGAGGCATCCGTCCGCAAGCTCCCGCCGCCGGGCAGCAGCCGCGCCTCGCATGCTATGGAGCACCCGCTCTTCGGCTGCCTGCGCAGCCCGCACGGCACCGCTCAGGGCCTGCACCCCTTCTCGCAGTCTTCCCTGGCTCTTCACGGCCGCTCGGACCACATGTCCTACCCCGAACTCTCGCCCTCGGCCTCTTCGTGTATAATCGCTGGCTACGCCAACGAGGAGGGCATGTTCGGCAGCCAGCACCACCCGCGCGGCCACCACCACCACCACCACCACCACCATCACCACCCACAGGCACCCCCGCCGCCGCCGCCGCCGCCGCCACCCCCGCCGCAGCATCAGGCGCTGCAGGGCAGCTGGCACCTCCCGCCCCTGGCTTCGCCTCCCGCTGCCGCCCGCCACAGCCTGTGCTTGCAACCCGACGCCGGCGGCGGCCCGGAGCTGGGCGGCGGTGCCCAGGGTTTGTGCGCCTCTTCGGGCAGCTTAGGTGCCAGCACGCCCACGGGGGCGGCTTGCGCACCAGGGGACTACGGGCGCCAGGCGCTGTCCCCCGGGGACGCCGAGAAGAGGGCCGGCAAGAGGAAGAGCGATAGTTCAGGTAAGCAACCGTCGGGGGCTGAGGGAAGGCGACCCTCAGCGGAGGGGCGAGGCCTGCTGCCCGGTGGACGGGCATCGCCGGTGAGGGCGGCTGGCCGCATTTCTAGGGGGAGAGGCTCAGCACGCGCGCGAGCGCGCGCACACACACACACACACAAACACACACACACAGACACACACACACACAATCACACACACACAGACACACACACACAATCACACACACAGTCAAGCAGAGACTCGCACACAGGTACCCACAGGCAGATTCAGAGACATACAGGTGACCAGCTATAAAGACAGATGCGCAGAACGATACTCGCGCAGGTGGCCGGCACTGGCGGACAGGCTGTCCGACCGCCTCAGGAGGCCAGAAAGCCACACGGTGAGAGACAGACACAGATGTATAGACGAACAGTCACATACAAACACAAGCACATGTGATGTACTGAGTGTTGCAAGCGCGGTAAACTCGCAGCCAATGAGTATAATAGAACTTCTCTCAACTTTCCGAGGCGATGGTCAGAACTCCTCGAGCCTTTCCCCCTATCTAGGATCGTATGGAGACGCTCTCTGCAGTACCCTTGGCTAGACTCGGGCAGGGACTCTGCTGGCATCTGGCTCCTGGGGCTTAGGGGCAGCTCGAGAGCACGTGACAGCGCCTATTTTCAGTGGCTCAGTTTGCATTTTCTCCAAGATACAGAAGGAGATTAGTGGAGCAGAGTCTCGCTCTGGCTCTTGCTGGTGCTGGGGCCTTCGTGGGGCCGCTTCGGACTCGCTCGGAGGCCACCAGTCAGCTCTTCCTCCCCTTTTTCTATAGTTAACTGGATTTCCAAATTCTTGTGCAATCTTTGGAACCTTTGCAGTACAACTTGGCAAAGTTCATGAGAAAAAAAAAAGTCCTCAATTCTGCTGAAAGAGTACTTTAAATAACCTAGGATTCCCAAAGTGAAAAAAAGATAAGTGGGTATCCTTGAGAACTGGGGAGGAAGGGGCAATTTCCAAACTCCGAAGTTTGCACTCGACTCTGTATTTGAAGGGCGCCCTTTGTGGATTTACAAACGGTAGTTGGCTCCCGTAAGGAACTGTGAGTTGGGGGGAAAAATGTTTCTTGATATTGGTCCCTATTAAGGGAGTGCTTTCTGGAGCACAGAATTCCCGCATCCGCAACAGGGAAAGTTGTTTCCGAAGAGGCGAGAACCCAGAGAACAAGCAGAGGGGGTCTTGTCCGAAAGCTGAGGGTGGGCTGCCACATACCGAGTTACCCAGGCCTCAGAAAAACAAGCCTGAGGCGCTGAAGGTGCCTCTGATGGGGAAGCCATAGGAAAGCGATTTGGAGATCTGATCTGCCAGATAAGAGAAGGCCAAGGTATAGCATCTCTGAACGCTTTGTAAAGGCTCGCGGCTGAATTCATAGCCCCAGAGTCAGCGGGGGAAAACTAGCAGCGATCTTTGGGTGAGGAATTCTTGGAGTATTTTGAGCGTCAAGACTAGGAACCTGGTTTTCTTCTTGAATTTAAGGACTGCCATGATTTATTTTTGTTGGTTTTTTACCAATCATTTGGCAATTTAACCCCCCCCCCCCATTTTACCGGCAGTTATCAGCTTTAAAAAACATTATCAAAACTGTAATAAAGTCCAAGTGGCTTGAGATCTTAGGCTTAAAGTGTTTTACGTGGCATCCAAATGTTCTTCAGTATCAGGCATGAACGTTCCAGTCAGGAGCCTTTTTCAAGGAGGCTATAAGGTGGATCTAAATCATCCTGTCACAATTTCAAAATCTAGTCCCCTCTTTTCGGTGTTAGGAGTTAACATAACCTGCCCAAATCAGGGCTTTTTTATCCAAAGAAAAAAAAATCCAATTTTCTCATACATTATTGGTGGTCTGGACAAACCAGGTGTAGTGTAATGTTCTTACAACAGTGACAAATAACAATATGAATCAACTCTGCTATTATGTCTGTTTTTGGGGGGTGGGGAGAAGGAAGCCACATTCAAAATTCAGACATTATAGAATGTTTTTTTTTAAAGTCTCTTATGAACATAATTATATTCTATATCACTGGAATATTTGGAAGTGAAAGACTTTTTAGGTCACATCTTCAGGTACCAGGAGCTCTGGAAATGAGCAGTTTATTTATTGAGTGAATTGTTCTTTTTGTTCATTGACCTAAACCAATGGACTAATTTTTCCCTTCCTCACACACACAGATTATTTTGACTGGAGAAAGGTAGGAATGGAGTGGGGAGAGTGACATTAACTTCTCTCTGGTGATAGTTTCCAGAGAAAACTATCCACCCACCCCACCTTTTTAAAGCAAGATTGCATATATTCATCTTTTACCCAGGCTCACAACATAGCAAAATAGGATCTTGCAAATCTGTGTTCTTGCCCGCTGAAGCTCATGTCTGGAGTACGACCAAAATAGCGACAATTTGTGTCGGCTGCTGCCCATACGGTTACTGAGTGAGTGTTTGAGTGGGAAATGCCAATTAGTCATCATCCAGGATAGGTTCACTTGGGATTTCTAGTGATCATTTACTTGGATAGAATGGCCCCGAAGATCTTCAGCTAACTTAATGGAAATGGCACTCCAAGTTTTAGCCGCAGAGGCAGTGAAGTTCTCATGAAAAATGCTATGCAAACTGGAACCGTCACTTCCCTTGCCTTCCCTTCCCTTGCCTTCCCTTCCCTTCTCTTCTCTTCTCTTCTCTTCTCTTCTCTTCTCTTCTCTTCTCTTCTCTTCTCTTCTCTTCTCTTCTCTTCTCTTCTCT